CAAAACCTTCGGGTGACTGGACGCAAAAGAGTGCCAAGTGAGTGCAAGGTATTTGTGATAGACATGTAGTCAGCCATGTACTGGTTTCAGTTAAACAGCCCAGAAAACTGGACAAGAAAATACAAGAAAGGAACATTCCCGGAGAAAGAAGGCACAGGTTACAACATCCACTAGGCCCTAGGCCGCACAAACCCTCCAAGTTGGGTCCACATGATGTTGCCGTTTGCTTGGCTTTGCTCGGCTTTGCTCGGCATTTTCACCCAACTTCACCCAACTGACAGATCAAACGTAGTTCCAAAGATCTTTCAAACCCTTCTGCAAACTGGTTGTGGATCCTGTCTTCTGCAGCTGGGAGAGATCGCTTTGGCAGGGGGCCGGAAAAAGGAAGGGCTGCGTGGGCCTTTAAGCACATAAAAGATATGTAAAGATCATGAAAGGCCTGACAAAGATATGTAAAGACCCTAAACACTTTCTACTACGCCTCATTGATGCCTTATTTACCCCTAAAGCCTGTGAGGGCGTCAAAGGTCACTCTTTTCCTTGACGTGTCACACCCATTTTCCCTCTCCATCCGAGGTTACAACGCCTTGGAGGCGATCACCCTGCGAGTTCCCTGGCTGAACACCCCCCACCACCCGAGTCGGTGTAGGTGCTCGCCCTGTTCCAACCACGCTGCATGACTGCGGTCCCTGGCACATGCAGAAAAGTACAGCTCTAGAGGTCTGACCGGGGGCCTGACCTCGATCTGATTTTTTAGAGCTTCTTGGCAGACTTCCGAGTCCCAAAGTCTTATTTCCTGGCAAGATCGGGGAGGATCTTCTCTCTCAATGCAGGCCCGGGCCCAAACCGTTGGTCCGGGCCCAAACCGTTGGTCATGTCAGGACTGCAGGTGGTCTTCCAATACATTCAGCTTAGCGTTTCCAGTTGCACCACATCCGGCGATAGGTTTCACATGGTTTCACCGTTCACCATTAACGTTAGGCCATTCACCACTGCAGCATCCTAACATTCAATTGGAGTACTTTGAGCACATTTCAAAGGGCAAACTCTATGGAGCCTGACCTTAGTTTAACTTTGTTTTCTTTTCAAGTGATACTCCTCAAGATTGCAGTTCATTTTGCCCAAACGATTTTAGATTGACAGCTACCGATCAGCAGGAATTGGACCGACTAACCCTGGCATGCCGCTGAGATTCTTTGGCCCAAATTGGATTCCAAAGAGCGACTTCTGCGCAGTGCTTGTGTGGGTGGCGGCCTCTTCTGTACCTTCGGATTTCTCTTTGCCGGAGCTCTGTGCCTCAGCATCCACCTGGAGCCGACGACTCCAAGCCGACTCGGGTTCCAGTGGGGCGCTGGGTGACAGTCTTTGTGGAACGTCCTTGTTACTAATAGCAAGAATGCTACTAGTAGTACGGCCAGGAGCCCCTAATAACGTTCTTGCTCCTAGTAGTAAGGCCAGGAGCCCCTAGTAGCGTCCGATCGCTCCTAGTAGCGCTGCCCGTTCTTTACATGGGTCATCATGGATCGTTCATCGTTGATGTTTTCTTCCTGGACAACTGGACGCACCATTCGAAGCAGAAGGTTCCGGAGGTCCTTGAGCTCGTGAAGGATTGATAAAATACTTTGATAACTTATTGTTGAACACATTTGACCCTTGTTCATGTTGCGCAAGTGCTTTTGCACATTTGATTCCTCGTGGAAGGTTGCTCCTAGAGGTCAAATAGGCTCATTTGGACCAGTTTTCCCGCTCGCGTTTGCGAACGTTTGCAACCCATTTGTTCTTACCAGCCCCTTTCGCGGCTCGGACGCTCAAGGTACACAACTGCAAAAAGCCTCGGATGCTCTTCTGACCTTGAGCATCCTTGAGCAGATTTTGCACAACAACAAACGCGATGTCAACTGAAGAGTCGTTTCAGTCCTGAATGGTAAAGGCAAAAAGATTGCGTCCATAATACCATAAACAAATATAAACAACGTGTTTTTTTCTTTAGAGCTTCTTTTCTCATGTCAGCTGGATTCTTAGGTACCCCAAAATGACCCAACAAGTGCACCAAAGTGAGGGCCACAACCGGCCACAACTCTTGGATGCCAAGGAATCTGCTGTATGGATGAGTATGAGGCAACTGCAGCTGCCTTCCGAGACCTGGCCTGACCAAAAATGTCTTGCTTCCCCAAACACATCAGATTGGCACTGGGTAGTTGCTTCCCTAAACATCTTTTTTGTTGGACTTTGAGCCAACCCATCCAATGCCACAGCCTGGGCCGCGCTTGCCGGGCGGTGTTCCGCCCAACGCCGCGCCCTTCGGGCCGCTAGACGCCGGGAGGTGTGTCTCGGTCGCCGAGGCCGTGTGTTTCACTTGGACAACAGCACCACCAGCGGACGCATCGATGAAGTTTTGGCGGTAGAGACCTTTGGGCCTTATGTCTTGGTGAAGCTTAGCGCGAGCCAGTGTGAAGCTATGCGTCACCATTTTTTCGCAATGCGTCTAGGGTTTAGCTGTGTTTGGGTGCTTTTCTCCGAACGAAGGGCTCTAAAAAATGCACCCAGATGGGTGAAGGATTTACATGAAGGGCAAGATTTACACTGAAATCCACTGAACAGGGCTCTGGGGCCCTGGGGGATTCTGGCGGGATGTTCGCAAGGAGAGTATTGACTTCTGGAAACCGTCCAACAAAGAAGCCAAGGAATTCGGCGAATCAGACAGCCTTGGCATTGAAGAAGGCGGAGTTTTGGATGGAGGAGTGCCAGTAACTGTTAAAAGAAGATCCACTGCGTTTGAAGCAAGAAATCAGGAAGCATCACTTCATATCATATCATATCATTTCATATCATATCATATGTTTTTTTATATCATATCATATCATATCACTTATATTATTATATACATTATATACTATATTGTATTATACTATATTATGTTATATTATACTATATTATATCACATTATATTTTCCTTTATTATATTATAATATATCATATCATATCATATTATACTATACTATATATATTATATTGTACACATAATATATATATATATATTACAATATATATATATATATTCACTTGAACTTGGCTACTGCCACTGCAAAAGCACTAGTCTTGGTAGTGGTTGCCATCTTGATGCCGGGTTGGTCCATCATCCAGCTCCGTCAGCCTTAGGTAGCTGTAATACCACCGGCCGGCTGGGAGATGTCCGAACATCCGAGGGAGTCATTTTGAGATTCGTGAATTCGTTTCCACCTTGGATCCAGTTTTTTTTTGTTTGTTTTTGCTTGTATTCCATATTATGTGATTCTAGATTCTATTCAGCCTTTTCGGGACGGCAGGAGTTCGCGGGCTTCTTTGTTCTTACGAGCCACCTCTTGATTTGGCTCTTTGCTGTGCCCATCGCGCAAACTGCGCTGCTGGGGCGCTTAAGTGAAGCTGCCTGACGGAAAGCCGTCGTTGCTTCGCCGGACGCCCAAAATAAGTCTTGGGTGCGAAAAAGTGGGACGGGGACGACGGGGGACTGCGGAAGATCCGCTGAAGTTGTCAACTCCGTTGGCGAGTTTGGAGTTGCAAGTTGTTTTCTGCATTTGAATGCAGACATCAGCACACAGATGGAGACCCAGAAATGAGAAATGTACATTTTATAAAGGGCAAAAACCTCTTGTACTCTTTTGTGTCCATTTCTGTTCAGTTGCAGAAATGCCGACCTGGAAGTCCACCCTCCCTCAAGCAAAATCGCTCCGTACTGATGGCGCTCACCACTCTACCATGCAGTTCTATCAACTCGATCAGTTTCGAGGGATTCATCATTTCTCAAGAAAACACCTGCAAGATGAATCTGAGATCCTTATGGATCCTTTCTTTTGGCAGTCTTCTTGAAACCAGAGGCGCTCACTTACGAATGCTTCAAAGCATTGATGTCACTTGTGTCGCCCCAAAATATCCCCGAGCAACCGAGCAGAGCTAGCAGAGCTACATGTAGCCTGTACGCTTTGTTCCCAAACCTCTCCGCCTTCAGACGAATCTCGGCAACGAGGGAACACAGAACTGATCATTTTTGATACCTGTCTGAACATTCTGAACATCAGTTTGGAGCAACTCGGATAACTCTGCGCTCTTCAGCTCTCCTTGAACTCCCCCGTGCCAGGGGGCCATGCCCTACACCTGGAACGGGGCGCAACAATGAACCCGGCAATCACCCTGGCAGTGGCCACGGTCGCACCTGGCGGCTGGTGCCCAGCCATGAGTTCAGGGACAGATGGGAGGGCTGTCTGAGGGTGGCAGATGCGCGGGAGATGTTGTTCCCAAAAGCATCTCCGATGCTTGGGTTCTCGTTTATTTAGTCGCTAGTGCCGCGGGAGAGCGAGGAAAAGCTTGTCCTGCGGAAGGATTGCTGGGCCTGATTCATGTCAAGGCGTACTTTGCCTGGAAGCCCATAGTGCATCACCCTCCAGGCCATAGATGACCTCTTCAGACGGGGTTGGGAAGGAAAGAGGGAGGGATGGATGTGGAGGTGGACGGGGTTGGGGAGGGGAAGGTGCATCGGGACGGGGCTGGGGAGGGAAGATGGAGGGAGCGAGACGGGAGGCGCATGGATGGGGACGGGGCTGGGGAGGGAAGATGGAGGGGAGCGAGAC